TGCCGCCTGACTTCTTTCCTCGCCGTGGTTTCTTTTCTTTTGCCGAATGGGCTTCTTTTTGGGGTCCACGGCGAGTTTGTGGACAGCAAGATCCGGGCTGACGCCTGGCATCTCTTCCACTTCAAAGGCAAAAATGTCTTTGAATTCCTTCAGCAGAAGGTGCAAGCTTGCACCTAAGGTAGCATGAGCAACCGTCCCAACCTTAACAGTACGTTCTGGACGGCTGTCATCCAGAACGAGATCAATGCTTTCGCCAGCCGGTTGGGGACGGAGCTCATCTGACCGTTCACCGGTCAGTGATTGCTATTTTTTATCTTTCTTCACCTCCACCAGCAGAGGTGCCTTTCTTTTCTTTCCGGCTGCTGGTGGGGCAGGAGCTGGGTCGGCATCCTTGACATTGTCAAGGTCTATTGGTTCCTGACCGCCTGGGGCCACGGTATCTCGGATGGCTGAGAGATAGCACTCTCGGGCCGTCTTCTGATCCCCATTCAAGGAACCAACAGAGCCGTCATCCCTCTCATACTTGATGACCATGAGGGACGGGATGATTACTGCCTTGGCTACGTTGAGGGTCGGCCTACCAAGAATGATGTTATAGGCGGTCAACTCCTCAACGACCAAGAATCTGACGACAATATGTCGTCCCTGGCCTTTCTCTCCCAGCCGGATGGGTAAGTCAATTCTTCCGGCTGGGTAGACCATCCCACCCCCAAAACCAACCAACGGGTGGGTGACCGGATGCATGCTGCTGACATTGTATTTCAGCTTTTGCAGGCACCGGAGGCTGATGATGTCTGATGAGCTGCCGGTATCTATAAGGATCCGTCCAACCAGCTGATTGACAACCTTACATTCAATGACCACCGGGTTATCATGCGGGCGGCGGACGCTACCCCTATCCTTCTCAGTGATCAAGACGTCTGGGAAGGAGGAGCTGGCTTCCGCCTGTTCATCATCATCTTTGTCCATCTTTCGAAGATGGCTCTTGGTGCCCCGGATGGTAGGGCCACCACATGAGAACCCGCCTGCTATAGTGTAGACCGGCTCCTTGTCGGTATCCGAACTACTAGCAGGCTGGGGGGTAGTCTTGGAGGGCTGACCCTTGTTTTTCTTTTTTGCCCCGGCTGGGGACTTAGAAATGTAGGACTTCAACAGCCCTTTGTCAGCCAGACGGTCCAACGCACGCTGAAGACTGAAGCAGTCGTTTTTGTCATGGCCGACCTCCTCATGGAACTGAAAGAATTTATTCTTGTTCCGTGACTGGACAGAACTCTTCATAGGATTCGGCTTCTCAAGGGACAACCGGTCCTTTACCTCCATGAGGATGGAGTTGTAGTCTTTATTAAACTCGTACTTGGGGACGTACGGTTTAAATTCTTTCTTTTTCTTCTGGGACGGCTGGTCAGAGTCAGTAACCGCCCAGACTTCTTTTCTTTTCTTGCTCTCTTTTTTGTTTTTTGGCCGGCTGAGCTGACCGACTGTCTTTCTGTTTGTCGAACTTCTTGGAGTCCGACTGGCTACCAAGCGAGCAGAGGTCGGTAGCTTGGATGTAGCTTTCCGCCTCCCTCAGGGCCGCCTGTAAGGTGAAAGCCCCTTTTCTGACGAGGTCGAACTTAAAAGTCGACCCGTCTCTCAGACCCTTGAAAAAGTCTGTAAAAGCTACCTCGTCAGACAGTCCTTGAATTTGAATTCTTATCAGATTGAACCGCCTGACATATGAGCGCAGCCCTTCTCTCTCTCCCCGCTTAACAGTGCTCAAATCAAGGCTTGTTTTCTTAGTAGGGACGTTCATTGAGAAGTTGGAAGCAAACAGGCAAGCTTCCTGAAGCTATCTATGGACCCGGCTGGCAGATTGCCAAACCATTGTTGGACAATGCCCTTCAATGTAGCCGGGAAGCATCGACACCAAGTGGCATCATCCAACCCCTGCAGATACATGAGGTTGGTGTATGCCATGAGGTGGTCTTCCGGATTGGTGGTACCATCATAGGTACCAACCAATACATTCTTAACCTTGGTCGGCTGGGCCGCCTCGTTTATCTCCCGGGTGAACGCAGAAGGTTGTTCACCCAGGCGCAGCAGACGAAGCTGCCAGTCCAATGGCTGGACATTTGGGTATGCCGCCTGACCTCCAAAGAAGGTCGGCTGCATGAAATGAGGGGGATACTGTCCGTAAGCCTGAGTAGGCACATACGGTACAGCTCCAATCATGTGAGTGCCAAAGTGGACGGTATTACAGCCTGTCTTGCTCTCATGCAAGGAGGGTGCACTCCCTGCGGAAATGTTGTTGAAGCTGTCTGGAAAGTTCAACTTTGAAGCCGACTCAGACAGCGATTGGTTTCTCCTCCGATTGATGATTTCCCGGGCATCAAGCGTTGATTTTTTACTTCTCACCGGCTGTTGGGTCTGGCGAGTGTTATTGGTGTTCCTCCCAGGAAGGAGAATTTTTTACCAATCAATGGTCCCGGCTGCCTTCTCCTTTGGATGGGGAGTGGGCTGCCAGTTTCTGACTGACTTCCCCTTCTCTGGAGGAGTCTTCTTCGCCGACTGACCTTTACTTGGGCCAGCCCGGCTTATGGTGATCAACTCTTTAATTTCGCCCTTGAAACTGGTCATGAACCTCATGAGTTCGTCTCGGGTGACAGGGGATGATCCAGCTGCCGTTTGGGTTTCCCCTTCCGGCTGCCCAGTGGGTCTGCTCGGACCCGTCTGGGAGGCGCCCCGCTCCAGAGTCTCTCTGGGCCGGATGCGCTTGATTCTAAGAGAGCCGTCTTCGGCTGTGGAGGTTTCGACCTGAGGATCCTCATCCTCCTCATGGTCTGTAAAGACTTCTGGGTCTTCACCCAGACGGTTAGGGGGTACAGACTCTTGAACCATCTTCGAGGTACTCTCCCCACAGACGGCGCCAAATGTTTTGGGTGTTTTTGTCCCTCGGGAGAGTTACGTCACGAAAACTGATCCGTCTTGAGCTGCACCTGCACAATAACGGAGACTCCGGGTGGTTGGAGCTCCGCCTCCGACGGTCAAGTTAGTAACTTGAAAAGGAATAAAGAGTACGGAAATTTAGGTGGGTATCTGCTCGGATTCCAAGCTCAGGTGTTTCTCTGATGTAAGAGAATGCAGGTATATTAAATGGTAAAACTTGTCCTCAAAATGAGGGACATCTCCCTATTTATAGGGACTTTGGGAATTGCCCCTGATTAGGTCACTGAACCCTAATCATTGGTGGGCTGCGCCGTTTTCCGGCGTTCTCGGGATTTGGGCCTGAAGGCCGTCTTTTCCCCTTTATTTCTGGAATGACACGTGTCAAACAGGGATTGGTCCATTTTGGACCAACTGACACGTGTCACCCTCTGATTGGGCCACGTGGCAGGGTAAAATACCCTAAACAACCTCCACCACCTTAATCCACCTCTTCTCCAGATCCAAGCCTACCAACCAAAAATCCACCACAGCCGCTCTTCTCCTTTTCCCCAAATTTACCCACACCACTTCGAAAACCTACCCCCACCACTCGTAACCCTAGACCTACACCACAAATACCTCGCTTTACCTTGAAATCCTAGACCCACTACCCTATCCTTATGCTAATTCCCCGAAACCAACCCCACAACCTTGTATTTGAGTAGGTGGAAAGTTTCTACCGGTGATGGAAAATTGAGATAAAGGTGCGTCCATAATTCTACTTGGAGCTTGCACATAGTAGATCGAGGAGGGAGAGAGAACAAATAGGTGAGACAGAAGAGATTGAAACTAGAGAGAGAATGGAGGGCCCAAAAATTTTCAAAGGAAAAAAAGGAAAGGGGGGGGGGGTGTCAGGTGCAAGTCACGTGGGGTAGGTCAATGCCGGAGTTTTGGGTCAACGCCGGAGTATGGACAAGTGGCGTTTGACAACAAATTTTCAAAATTGGGTGGTCGTGGGCAACATATTTTTAAGTGGGTGGTTTTTGACAAAAAAATGTTTTTAGCGAGTGGTTTTTGACAAAATTTCCTTTTAATTATTTAATTATTAATAATTACTTTTTTTTTAAAAAAAAAAAAAGTAACCAACTACATAATGACAAAGATTATACTTTACCTTAATAACCGGTTACCTTTTAATCTTACAAGTTAGGACTCATTTTGAGAAAGTATGTTATAAATATCGACTTATTCTGAGTTGATTGAAAGATTAACTTATTTTGAGCAGTTGGCTTATTCTAGACAAAATTTTCTTTTTCATGTACATTCTACTCTTTCTTCATACACGAAGAAATGAAGCAAGTAATAAGGGTACTCAAGCAAAGCTTGGGGAGTTAGTGGGGAACTCACCTTGTGACTTTGAGGTCTCGAGTTCGAGCCCCACCAACTACAAAATACTTGGGAGTAGAGGGATTCCCTTACGTCCCTTTTTACTCTCAAGCTATGACCAGCGGAACTAGGATGACTAAACCTGTGAGAGATGTTGGCTCAGTCGTAGGGGTGTGGAAAAAAACCGTAACCGTTAATTGGTATCCCCGGTTACTGTTTTGAGTAAACGGTTAACCGATGGTTAACCGTTAAGATAAACCATAACATTTTTATTTACCTTTTTTTTTTTTTAAAGAAAAAACAATATAAATAGTTATATAAGTTAATCCCAATTAATCTTTATCCTCTTGTTTACTAGGTGGAATTTATTATGTTTATATTAAATTATATATTAGAGTCAGAACTGTTGGAAGAGCAAAAAAAGTATTGATTTACAATTTAATTAATGGTTAGCGATTAACCGGTAGCCGTACCGTTAAGGAATGGTTAACCATACCACTAAGGAATGGTTAATATGTTCACCGTTCCTTAACGATACGGTTACAATTCATGGTTAACCATTTCTTAATGGTACAATTACAATTATAACGTTAACCGTACGCTTAACCTAATGTGAAATTGTGAACAACCTATTGAGGGTCTTCGTCTTACTTTAAAAAAAAAAAAAAAAAAAAAAAAAAAAAAAAAAAAAAAAAAAGGGTACGGAGTAGTGGAGTACGTGATTTGCCAATTAAAATCAAAATGAAAAGCTTTCATTTTCTCCTACACAAAATTAGCGAAAACTCAAATCTGGCATATAGCACTATAGCAGTAATAGCACTGCTCATTTACTAACATCCTCCCATTTTTCCATTTTCCATTTTCCATTGACGTGTACTTTGAATCCTCCATTGATACGACTTCTGCGCTTTCTCTCCATTGAAGCAGCTTCTGAGTAAGTTTTTTTTTATTTTTTTTAATCATAATCTAAAATTAGTTTCATAGTCAATTTAGGGTTCTTCTTATGTAAACTAATGAACTTTTGCTTAGGATTACTCAAGTTTGGAAGATTATAACTTGTGATTTTGTTGCTAGAATTTTTCTATGTGCAATTTACATATATATGCTTAACTGAGAAGAATTTATGCGATTTTTCAACCCTAATTTTGGTAATTGATTTGAGTTTGGTTGCTAAAATAAACGTATTGCAGGCTTTTGTTCAGCCAAAATAATTCCTTGATCCATAGAAAAGATCCATTTTCAAAGTTCCATATTGGAATTATTGATAATATATATAAATAAGCAATTTAGAGGTCAAACATCTAACAAATATTCATGATTGCCTTTTGGAATTATTGGTACTTATAAGTCCAAACCTTTTTATTTTATTTATTTATTTTTTGTGGCAGATGAAGTTCCTGGATTGGTATGTGAAGATTGCAGTGGGTTCTGCTATGATTGGAGCTTCCATGGAGTATTTCATGATTAAAACTGGATTCTGTGTGAGAAATCTCCATTTCTCCTTTCTTTCCGTTTTTTCCCGAAATTATATCATTTTTTCTTAGTTCTATTCATGTACATTTTGCGTTCAGAATATGAAAAAAGTGCCCAACTAGCAATCTACAATTTAACTGATGAATTGCCTCCATTTATCATGCTTTGTGAAGTGATATACGCAAAGATCGATCTGTATGAACTATGAAGATTCCTGCCGCTCTTATGGCTAGTATATATATTGCCAAAATTAATTGGTGAAAATTTCAAGATGATGATGTACCGCTCATGCCATTGAGAAGTTTAGTTTGTTTGCTTTATCAATCCGGACTTAATAACTGACATCTTCTCTAGTATCCAAGGCCCAGGAACCGTCAAAGCTTAGGTGTCATAGTTGCCAATTGACAAGACCCCCAAATACTATGGGGGCTTGCTTATTTACCTAATTTATTCATTAATAAACTTGATTTCCTTTTGTAGGTGGTTTTGGATCATACTATTATCAAACATCTGATTTTAGTTATACATGATAACTGACTGAGAGCCCTTTATTAAATAGCAAATTATTCCAGCTATTATAATGCTACTACAGTTAGAGTCGATTCAGGATTTGTCTATAATGTGTAGAAGGGTTTGGCCTCATGAACCTTCTAGAGTACATCTGATATGTGGTTCTAATTTTATATCTTTAATCTTGGGGCCATTAGCGGGATTTTAAATTGGTTTTGATGAGGATGTTGTACATTTGCAGATTTTGTAATTTGCTTGAGCTGTGTTGGCTATAGGATGATTACTATCTTATCATATTGGGGAAGTAACCTCTGCGTGAAGACTGAGATTTTATAGGTGTCATGTCTCACGCCCACTCTACTTGACCTGCCTAATATGTCATATTAGATATTTAGCATTTATTTGGGCAAGGTTGGTTATTGATAAAAAAGGGATGCCTCATTTTAATGCCATGCTTATAATTGGATGGCTATTGTTTCAAAGTACCACGATGGATAATGAAGCAAATTCCTCTGTACTTTGACGATGGTTAATGTCATTACTCATAACTACTGATATTCTAGTACCATGAGGATGAATCTCCTTTTGGTTTCCACCTTCCATCATCACCATCCAATATTTTCATGTGCTCTTATGTGTATGAGTTAGTCTCTTTTTTGCTGGTATAGGTCAGAAGTAGGGATGTCAATGGGTCGGGGCGGGGCGGATGTTGGCCTTCCCATCCCCATCCCCACTTAATATTTTCATTCCCATCCCCATCCCCATCCCCGCGGCGGGTCCAATTTTCATCCCCATCCCCGCCCCACCAGGTACAACTCCAAAACCATCCCCGCCCCACCCCCACTTGGATATCTATCCCCACCTAATCCCCACTTAAGACCCGCCTAATCCCCACCCAAGATCCACCTAATATCCGTATCTCAAATACACAATCTTACATAATTAATACGAATTATAAAATAAAACATTCTATACACATTTTTGTGTTATAATATAAGTGTCGTACAAAGTACTATAACTAATATTTTATTTCATGTAATTATTTTATAAATAGAATAAAAGTATGTAATTTTGCTTTAAAAGATATATAGATGTGGGTATGAGGTGGGGATGGGGCGGGTACGAAGTGGGGCGGGTACAACTTAAAATCCACCCCCGCCCCATCACCTATGGCGGGTATGGTTTTTATCCCCATCCCCGCCCCACCACCCGCCAAACCGAGACCCATCCCCGCCCCATTGGGGCGGGGATGGGGCGGGTCTCCTACTTGACCCGCCCCACCGACATCCCTAGACAGAAGCATTGTTAATTTGCTAGTGCAAGATTGGATATTGGAATGTGATTCACTTAGGTTTGTAAAGTATGCCAAAATTATTACTCATGCATTAAGTTGCCTTTTTCAGTTCACAATTCATGTGGGGATTATTAAATCAAAAAACACTGGTCATTAGGTCAATTGCTGCTTGAGTCCTCTTAATTTATTCTTTTCTTTGATATAGTACACATCCCTTCTTGTTAGTGACATAGCCCTTGGTTATTTCAGGATAGATGCTTTATTCATGTTGGCATGTTCCAATTCAACCTCCTCAGGTCTGGTATTTTGGGTGCAAAATCTATTATGCATCCGGGTGCACCTACAGCTATTATCTTACTCATTGGATGGCTACAATTAAAAACCTTTGGGTGTTTAAATTCTATTAAGTGCATTTGCTTCAAAAATTGAATGCAGACTTGATAAGTTGAGATCTCGAGGATTGCAGCTGTTATCCATGTTCAGATCCTAATAGTAATCTGAATTAGAGTTTTATGTTGGACATGTCTTGGTATGTGCTCGAGGATTTATTGTTGATATCCTGTGCTTTAGATAAAGGGTTTCATCCCTGGAATATTGTACATAGCTGTGGTTTGGGCGTTTACTTGTTTTAGTTGTTTTCTAGATTTGTGTTGATTGATAAAGACGTAAGGTAAATAGTCCTTCCGACCGTTTGCTAGGGATTTTAAGGGTGGTTGTGGTTATATTAATAAGCCTAAAAAACTTGTGAAGCATTAAGCACACGTCAGTCATAAAACAAGTTTCAGGTATTCTGAAATGTATGTGCGTTGTGCAATATAAATTTAAATAGCTTTCAAGTTTCCTAATGCCTTTTTTTTCAATGTAGATGACAAGGTAACAGTTCTGGAATCAGAAAAGCGGGCTTGGGAGAATTCACCAGAAGCTCAGGCTGCTAGAGAGGCTCTAAATCCTTGGAGACATATTGATGCCAAAGAAAATAAAAATTAATAACTTGTTTGTAGGTTACCGTTTGATTTACACAATATGGTGTTATGTATTTGTTTGATGACTTATTATTGTCAAACACAAATTCATTATGAAAGTACTGATTTTATTTGACGTCTCTGGTTTTGAGCTATTATGTTCAACTTATTATCTGTATCTTATTTCTGAATTAATAATGTTTCGTAAAAAAAGGAAAATTTGCAAATTGCAGCCATTTAACGTTCGTATTTTGCAAATTACAGCCATTTAAATTTTTTTTTGCAAATTGCAGCCCAAAAGTTCGTATAAATTGTAAATTGCATTCCGATTCAATTTTTTCATTGGTTTACATGTTGATAAATCTTCGATTAACGTTTTAGGGGTCATTTTAGCCCTTAGGGGCCCGAATTGAGCTCGGAATTAGCAAAAAAATAACGTAAGTGTCTCATATTTATAGTTTCCCACAAATCGATACACTTTTGTTACGCAAAACGAGATACTTGCGTTATTTTTTTGCTAATTCCGAGCTCAATTTGGTCCCCTAAGTACTAAAATGGCCCCTAAAACCTTAATCGAAGATTTTTCAACTTGTAAACCGATGAAAAAAGTTGAATCGGACTGCAATTTACAATTTATATGAACTTTTGGGCTGCAATTTGCAAAAAAAAAAATTTAAATGGCTGCAATTTGTAAAATACGAACTTTAAATGGCTGCAATTTGCAAATTTTCCGTAAAAAAATTAAAACAACTATGTAATAGATTTACAGATGTTATGACGGATGATTTATCAAATTTTCAGGTTAATCAAGCATGAACTTGTAACTATACAGGCCCCAATGAACAGAGAAGCACTTATCAGAACAATTTCTCTAAAAAAAACATGCTGTATTCTGCTAGGCAAAATCATTCCTTTGATCATTGCAGTTTTGGGATTACTCGCTCTACTCGAAACTTTGCTTCATTGTTGTAAAGTGAAAGCATAAATGTTGTAAAGTGAGCCGGAGATACCTAGGACCGAGGAACCTTACGAATTTGACATACCAAAAAAGATTTAACAGCCGCACGCAATTCTAGAGTGAGCCACCAAACCGAAATGTCTATTGGACCTAAATCCGGAAGCAAAGAGAGAAGAGCCGCACAATCAAAATGAATCCGAATCTTCAAGAATCCTTTGCGAATCGTCGCCTGAAGTCCCCATAAACAAGCTTGTAGCTCAGACTGTAATGTTGATCCAGATAAAAAAGCCCTACTACCTCCACCCAGAATACGTTATAACTAAACTTGTCATGTTTTTTACAACGATTAGTTTAACTACATTTCTATAATTAAATTGTAATAATTCAGTTCCATCATCTTTTAATTATGCTTTGTTTGGTTCCTAATTTTAATTTGATGGGTATGACATTGGATGTGTGTTAAACTAATAAATTAGAAACCTCCCTTTCTCCTCCCCCCCCCCCAACAAGGCAACAATCCTTGACTAACAAAACCCGAGGGCTCACAATCATAGTGATATATAAACAATTATGGATGATCAATTAGTTTAGTTGGTTAAAATCTTATGGGATGGTACTTAAGACTTAAGATGAAATCCTTTCAACATCATTTGCTCTTATTTAAGTGGATTGCAACAATTTAAGTGTGACGTAAAACAATTTAAGACGTAAAAAAAGTGTGACATGAAAACAATTTAAGTGGATTGCAAGAGTCCTCTCAAATCATCTTATTATTTAGTTTTGAACTCAAATATATATATTAAAAATTAATGAAAATGTCAAAGAGAGCAAGACTACTTCATTGCTATCAATATGTAAATTGCTCCACCTATTGACTTCCAATTTAAGGTGAAAATAATAAAGATTAGATGGAACTCCTTCAAGAATGTTGACTTTGATGGTGTATTGATGGATAAATTCTTAATTGCACAAAGTAACTTTTTAGATAAGATTGTATAAGACCACCTTATAGGTGAGTTTGAGTACAGAGAAAGAAAATTTGAAATAAAATCATATGCTATTTAGTCTAATTATTATAGTACAGTTTTATTTAGACTTTTTCATTTTTAATTAGTTTGTTTGATGTACCTTACCAAATAGAAAATTTTTAGGTTTTAGGTTAAGTTTGGTTTGCAGTCATATATGATCATTATTTTTTGTCATAAATGTTCGTGGTAGGCTTGAATTAATGAAATTGGTACAAGTTGTATACCGGTAAATTGGTATTTTAAAGACAAATTGGATGATTCCACCCACCCAATTGGACTCCCGGAGGGTATTAGGGACCATGGTAAACATTTCGGCAATTTTTATATCCGGGCGAAAAAAAGCCAAAAATTCCAAAATTGTAGGCTAATTAATATCCACGCTTTTTGAGAAATTTCGATTGTTTCGGGTCATATAATGTTGTTTGGAACCATATATGATCATTATATGTTGTCATAAATGTTCGTGGTAAGCTTGAGTTAATGAAATCGGTGCAAGTTGTAAACCGATAAATTGGTCGTTCAAAGGAAAATTGGATGGTTCCACCCAACTAATTGGACTCCCGAGGTATTAGGGACCATGGTAAACATTTCGGCAATTTTTATTTTTGGGTGAAAAAAAATTCAAAAAATTCCAAAATTGAAGACTAATATCCACGTTTTTTGGGAAATTTTGGAGGTTTCGAGTAAAGCTGTCAATTCGGATAAACGGGTCGGTTTTGGGTCGGTAAGAGTGGGTCGGGTTGGGTTTGGGTCGGTGAGAGTGGGTTGGTTCATGCTTTAGTCGGGTCACGTCATACTTCTTATCGGGTTTGGGTCGGGTTAATAACAGGTCGGGTAATATTCGGGTCGGGTGAACATTAGGTCGGGTTTAATTCGGGTTTTCATGGGATAAAACGGATTAGCGTAATTCTCGGGTTCGAGTCGGGTTCGGTTCAAGTCAATAATTTGCGGGTTATAATCAGGTCGTGTCATTCTCGGGTTTGAGTCGGGTTTGGTTCAAATCAATAATTTGCGGGTTATAATCAGGTCGGATCACTTTCAAGTCGGGTCATTCTCGGGTTCAAGTCGGGTTCGGTTCAAGTTAATAATTTGCGGGTTATAATCAAGTTGGTTCATTTTCAAGTCGGGTCATTCTCGAGTTCAAGTGGGGTTTGGTTCAAGTCAATAATTTGCGGGTTATAATCAGGTTGAGTCATTTTCAAGTCGAGTCATTTTCGGATTCAAGTCGGGTTATGTTCAAGTCAATAATTTGCAGGTTACAATCAGGTCGAGTCAATTCCAAGTGAGGTCATGTCCGGGTTCAACTAACTATAAATAGATAATTATCATTTTTATCAAGCTAATTACTACCTCTGTTTCTTATTATGTGCAACAAAGGGGTATTATTTGTGAGACATAAAATATTCCTTTGTTGCACATAATAAGAAACGGAGGTAGTATTTCCTTTGACTATAATTGTAGGGAAATAAATTTCAAGCTTTAATCCCACTAGCTTGAACCCCACTATGATCATACACTAAAGTACGGTGGCGTCCAAAAGGGAAGAAGATAGAGCAAAAGAGTCGCCAACAAGTTTTTTAGGAACTTGTAAATCGTTCATAGGATGAAGGTTACACCTCTTAACGATCCAAGAGATCGTCAACTCCATAAGGTCTTGAACCAAATAAAGGGTTCGGGGATGATGGTACAAATCCAACCTAAAAGAGATTGAACCTGCCCTAATAATAGGCCTCTACTTTATTCTGCTCGTATTCATGTGCGCTTTCTGATTAACATGCAATCAATAGGATTAACCCTAAACCTGTTTATCTATGTTGGTTGAATATAAATGCACAAATAAACTATTATTGGCGATCACTTGAAATTATAATCATATTAACCCTAGACAAGATTATTAATTATCTTATTAAGCATGATTACAAGTACCAATTCCCTTTAAACATGCATAAAGGTGTGATCAAGCAACAACAAAGAATAAATATCAAGCAACATAACAAATTAATTATAATCATTAGGATAAACATGAATAATAATAATCATAAAAATAATAATAATAAAATTATCATCATAAAATTAAATTATAATATTCATAATCATCATAAATCATAATAATTATAATCATAATCATGTTCATGTTAATAAAAATAGCAAGATCCTAGGCATGATACTAACAAGATTAATAACAAACCCTAGCATGTCACTAAGGAATAAAAATCAAATATTTAACCCTAACATGATACTAACAATCATAAATATTAGGAAAAACATAGGAAGCATCACAGGAATCATATTTAATATTAAAACTACCCTAGACATGATACTAGGAATATCATAATAACAATCTAATCATGATTTCTACATCATAATATCAATGAATCAATTAAAGCACTTACTTTGATGCCTCGTACCTCTTTCTAATAACAAAATACACACGTTAGTAACTTCAAGGAAAATAATAAACAAACAATTAAATTAAATAATTGAAATAGAGATTTGGGACCAAACCCTCAGAAATTAAACCTTTCACGTCTAGGGCGAAGGCAACTTCGAATATGGCTAGGTATTTCTAGATCTTGCGGATGCTGAATTTTGTATAAAAAGCAAAGTTTTTAAAAGAAAGAAAGAAAGAGATGAATGAATTAGATGAATGCTAAAGAATTAGTGATTTGCGAATGAAAACTGATTGTTGATGAATGGTGAGAATTGGTGAATGAATGGAGAGAATTGGTGAATCTTGGTGAATGAAAACGGAGTTTTTTAATACGATATTTATAGAGAAAATCAGCCAAAAAAGATAAATCAACAAAACAGAGTCTGACGCTCAGACTGGCGCCAACCCTGGCTAGCTGGCGCCAGGCGCCAAGGCCTGGGGTTAGGCGCCAAGCTTGATTTTAACGCGTTTTCAAAAATCCTATAAGTTTACCATACTGGAGGATAAAATAATATAATTTCTTCGAAAATGCTATTTGATTTTGATTAAAACTCTGAAAAGTCAACACAAGTCAATTTATCAATGCTAATTGAATTAGGAATGAAAAGAACCTTCTAGAAGAATCTAGGAGACTAAAAACATTCCTAATTGCATTAGGAATGATAAATCATATTAGGCCCTCCCCTAGATCATTGGGCCGCATATAAAGCTCAAACCGGGCCCAG